GGGGTTCTTACTTCTGGTCTACGGAACTAGGCTGGTGTGGCGGTCTGGCGGCTATGTCGTCGCCGTCGCCGCCCGTCGTCTAGGGCGGTGTGGCGGTCTTGCGACTATGTTGTCGCCGTCTCAGCCCCGTCGCCAGCTCGTCGCCGCCCGTCGTTTGGGCCGGTGTGGCGGCTTGGCGGCTATGTTGTCGCCGTCGCCGCCCCGTCGCCGCCTCGTCGCCGCCCGTCGTTTGGGCCAGTGTGGCGGTCTGGCGGGCATGTTGTCGCCGTTGCCGCGCCGTCGCCGCCCCGTTGCCGCGTATATTGCGCACCACATAGATTGCGTCACATGGATTGCATCACATGAATTGCACAACATGTATTGCACAACCTAGAATCTCCTTTCTAAAAGAAGAACAGACTCTACCCCCTCCCCCCGGGGTTCATGGTACCCCCTGTGGTATTGCGATTTCATATTTATTCTGCACAATCGTCCATCCTAAATCTGAGTTCATACTATCCCAGCCAGGCTGGCATCACTCCCCCCGCCATCCTCTGCAACAAAAAACTATGCGCGCATTCTCGTTCATCAAGTTTTCAAGAATCCCTTGCAAAAAAATTGACGAAGTGCGCACGCGCGTGTCGTCGACCGCGCGCATGCCGAAATCCTCCAAGAACCTTCCGTTCCGGAAGAATTTCAAAATCGAGTTTCCCAAAACCATGCAACAACACCTTGTTTTGGCACCGCTAATGTTCTAAAAAAGCTTACGCGCGCGTTCGTGCGAAATCTCAAAAAAAAACATGGTTTTCCAAGATTTTCAAAACATACTACCAAACGGGCTTCGCGCGCGCATGTCGAAATCTTTCGAACGCCCTTGCGCGCGTGCCGTCGCGAGAATGCTTTGCAGAAAAAAGGACGAAGTGCAGACGCGCGCGTCGTCGTGCGCGCATGCCGAAATCCTTCAAAATTGCTCGGTTTCGGAAGGATTTCAAAATCGTGCGTCGAAAAAGCATACAAAAACACAAGGTTTCGCAACACGGATTTTCAACAAGAGCGTGCGCGCGCGCTCTTGCGTCGTTGTCGTCGTCGTGGCCGTGCTCCCTCCTCCCTCGTCGTCGTCGTCGTCATCGTCGTCGCCGTCGTCGTCCTCTGTCTTTCCTCGTCGTCGTCGTCGTCGTCTTGGCGTCGTCGTCGTTTCCGTCGTCGTTGTCGTCGTGGTCGTCCTTCCTCCCTCGTCGTCTTCGTCGGCGTCTCGTCATTGTCCCTCCTATTTCGTCACCGTCGTCGTCGTTGTCATCTTCCCTCCTCCCTCGTCGTTGTCGTCGTCACCGTCGTCGTCCTCCCTCCTCCCTCGTCGTCGTCGGCGGCGGCGGCGTCGTCTTCGTTGGCGACGTCGTCGTCGTCGTCGTCTTCGTCGTCGCCGTCGTCGTCGGCGTCGTCGTCGTCGTCGCCAGCGGCGTCGTCATCGTCGTCGGCGTTGTCATGTCGTCGGTGTCGTCGTCGTCGTCGTCGTCGTCGTCGTCGTCGTCGTTAGCGTCGTCGTCGAAGTCGTCGGAGTCGTCGTCGGTGTCGTCGTAGTCATCGTTGGCGTCGTCGTCGTCGTCGTCGTCGTCGTCGCTGTCGCTGTCGTTGTCGGCGTCGGTATCGTTGCCAAGTGCCATTAGGTACCTCCCGTCACGGTCTTAAGAGGTCTTGTGACCAAATTGCGGGTGGGAGGGTGGGATGTTTGCACGGGCAGTGGAGATGACAGCTTCAAGACAGTCAAAGTGAAGTACACTACGTATATTGCACCATCTGTATATACATGTATAAATATATAATGCACCAGATAGGTTGCGCAACACACACTGCACAGTATAATTTGCACAACATGTATTGCACTAAATACATTGGACAGCATACATTGTACAATACATCTTGCACCACATTAATTGCATTACGTATATTGCAGAACATGGGTTACACTACATATACAGCACCACGTCGATTGTATCGCACAGACTGAGCACCACAAGGATTGCATAACAGAGGTTGCACAACTTAGGTTCTCCTTTCTAAAAGAAGAATAGACTCTACCCCCCCCCCTGAGTTAACGGTACCCCCTGGGGTATTGCGATCTCATATTTATTCTGCACACTCGCCCATCCTAAATATGAGTTCGTATTATGCCAGCCAGGTCGGTATCACTCCCCCCCGCCATCCTCTGCAAAAATACTATGCGCGCACTCCCGTTTACCAAAATCATAGGATTTGAAGAATCCCTTTCGAAAAATGGGGCGAAGTGGACACGCGCGCGTCGTCGCGCGCGCATGCCTAAATCCTTCCAGAACCTTCGGTTTGGGAAGGATTTCAAAATCGAGTTTCCAAACCACATACAACAACACATGATTTCGCAACACTGATTTTCTAAGTAAGACAGCTTACGCGCGCGCCCTTGCGAAATCTTAAGAGAACCATAGCTTCCCAATCGTTCAAAACATAGTACCAAATGGTCTTCGCGCCCGCATGTCGAAATCTTTCGACCGCCCTTGCGCGCGTGCCGTCGCGAGAATCCTTTGCAAAACATGTGACGAAATTTAGACGCGCGCGTCGTCGCGCGCGCATGCCGAAATCCTTCAAAATTGCTCGGTTTCGGACGGGTTTCAAAATCGTGTGTCCAAGAAACATGCAGAAACATGCAAGAACACAAGGTTTCGCAACACGGATTTTCGACAAAAGCGTGCGCGCGCGCTCTTGCATCGTTGTCGTCGTCGCCGTTCTCCCTCCCTCGTCGTCGTCGTCGTCGCCGTTGTCGTCCTCTGTCTTGCCTCGTCGTCGTCGTCGTCGTCGTCGTCTTGGCCTCGTCGTCGTTTCCGTCGTTGTTGTCGCCGTGGTCGTCCTTTCTCCCTCGTCGTCTTCGTCGGCGTTTCGTCGTTGTCCCTCCTTTTTCGTCGCCGTCGTCGTCGTCGTCATCGTCGGCTTCCCTCCTCCCTCGTCGTTGTCGTCGTCGCCGTCGTCGTCCTCCTTCCTCCCTCGTCGTCGTCATCTTCATTGGCGACGTCGTCGTCGTCGTCTTTGTCGTCGCCGTCGTCGGTGTCGGCGTTGTCGTCGTCGGCGGCGGCGTCGTCGTCGTCGTCGTCGTCGGCGTTGTCATCGTCGTCGTCGTCAGCGTCGGCGTCGTCGTCGTCGGTGTTGTCGTCTTCGTCGTTGTCTTCGTCGTCGAAGTCGTTGGAGACGTCGTCGTATGTAGTCGTTGTCGGCGTCGCCGTTGTCGTCGTTGTCGCTGTCGTCGTCGGCGTCGGTGTCGTTGCCAAGTGCCATTTGGTACCCCGTCGCGGTCTTAAGAGGTCTTGCGACCAAGTTGCGGGTGGGAGGGAGGGTGGGATGTTTACACGAGCTGTGGAGAGGACAGCTTCAAATTGAGCAAGTGAATTGCACAACATAAATTGCAACATACGCATGTATATTTAGTGCACCACAACGGTTGCAAAATATATGTTGCGCAGCATAGATTGTGCAACGTTTATAGCACAATATCTGTATTGCTCCACATCGAGTGCACGCCATCGATTGCACGACACAGATTGTGCCACATAGGTTGCACCACACATATTGCACAACATATGTTGCACCACATGTATTGCATCGCATCGGTTGCATCCCATTGATTTGTGCACCACGTACATTGCAGACCAGATGTTGCACAACGTAGTTTACGCAGCATAGATTGTATTACATGTACTGCACCACGTTGATTGCACAACATGTATTGCGCAATACAGATCACTAGAAACACACGGTTTGGGGTGCACGTTGGCTAATGTGTCTGCGTGTCATACTCTCGCTCTCTAGCTCTGGAATTGGCCGGGAGGTTTTGGAAGGAGTGCGCGAGCACAAGATGTTTGAACCTATGTGTGGAATCGCCCTGCCCACCGTGAGCTCTGTTTGAAATCAATGCATGTCCCGTCGTGTGGGGCGGGAGAGAAGCCCGAACACTCAACGAACCGCCACGTGTCCTTGGGCGCTCGCGTGCAGATCTGTGGCGTTGTGCAGACGGTGCGCATGGGGCTCAATTAGAGAGACTTGCGCTAAGACGTGTTGCTCCTATGCGCGGAGTGCGCATTCACGTTCATTTCCCATATTCCGAAGACGTATCCAAGATGTCTCTCTGGAGGGAAGAAGGGATAGTGCAGACGGCGCGTCGAATAAGAAGCTGCCTTCCATCGGGTCCCCCCAGATACATCTTAGCTTTAAGATCCAGGGGCATCTCGAGGCATTTGTGGCTCAAAGGTGTACTTAAGATGTTCTCTCCCTGGCATGGGCAGCAGGCTCTTGAAATTGGCAGTCGTCGGCAGGTGCTCGTCTGTGGACGCTGACAGAGGTAAACCTATACGCTTGCGCTGGCGGAAGCTGGTGGAAGCCATTGCCGGGAGCCCTAGAAGCAGGGCGCACGCGATTTGATATCGACGTCCCAAACGTCTCTGAAAGTCGCCTCCACGCGAGAATTCAATGTTGAGTAGTCCAGGCTGACTTGACTTCCCCAGGTCCTGCCCGATCTCAGCAGCCAGGTCAACTCCTCGTACAGTCAAGGCGCTGAAGTGAGGACCACCCTGGGCTCAGGGGATCTGATGTCAGGGCCGTTCCTTCGATTTGGGTCGGGGAGCCCATCCGTGACCGAGGCTCGCCATGGCCAGAAAAAGCCCCCCGCGTTCCTCACGTCTCGGGCCGAACGAAAGGGGGGGATAGGGAAAGGGGGGTTACGAAATCTGCTGTATGCAGCTTGTTTCGGCCCCGCCGCCAGGCCCATTCCTCGATGCATGGGCGCCTCCCGGCGCCGGGAGGCGCCTGAAAATCAGCTACGTGGGCTGATTCTCACCCCCCCCCTTTGCTATCCCCCCCTTTTTGAATTTACACCCTAGTGTTATCTTTGACTTTTGACTTTCGATTTTTTGGCTAGATCAGGATTTAGGAAACAATACGTGTTGTATGAAAGGTCAAATGCATACAATCATTTGTCAATTAAGAATGATCTTTGGGATGCGCACGTGCCATCGCCCGTTCCTCACTGCGCGTTCCTGAGGGCAGCGCGCGAGCTGAGCCCGCCCTGGCTCGAGCGGGGCCGAGCCTCGGCCTGCAGAGGGCCCCCCGCCCCCCGGGGGGACGCCGCGCCGGCCCGAGGCCTGCGCGACCCGCGGGAGGTGCGGCACACCAGGGATGGCCGCCGAGGAGGCGGAGGCCTGGGCAGAGGAGGAGGAGGAGGAGGAGGAGGAGGAGGAGGAGGAGGAGGAGGAGGAGGAGGAGGAGGGAGGAGGGAGGAGGGAGGAGGGAGGGAGGAGGGAGGAGGGAGGAGGGAGGGGAGGGGAGGGGAGGGAGGAGGGAGGGAGGGAGGGAGGGAGGGAGGGAGGGAGGGAGGCAGGGAGGGAGGGAGGGAGGGAGGAGGGAGGGGAGGGAGGGAGGGAGGGAGGGAGGGAGGAGGAGGAGGAGGGAGGGAGGGAGGAGGAGGAGGAGGAGGAGGAGGAGGAGGAGGAGGAGGAGAGGAGGAGGAGGAGGAGGAGGAGGAGGAGGAGGAGGAGGAGGAGGAGGAGGAGGAGGAGGAGGAGGAGGTGAGGAGGAGGAGGAGGAGGAGGAGGAGGAGGGAGGAGGAGGAGGAGCAGGAGGAGGAGGAGGAGGGAGGAGGAGGAGCAGAGAGCCACCACCGCACCCAGAGTGGATGTTTCTGGAAGGCCCCTCGGGGCGGGGCCCACCCGACCTCGACAGGGGCTCTTCGGTGGTGGTTGTGGTCGGTCTGGCCGTCCTCGGGCGCCACGCCGACCGCAGCCACTGCCGGGCCAGTTCCGGTTTTCTGACGTTTGGTGGCGTGCGCAAGATGTTCCCCAGGGTGTGTCTTCGATGTGGTTGCGGTCGCTGGCTGTCCCCACAGGAGGCCGGCGGGGAGCGGGCCCTGCAGCTGCTTCGCGCGCCAGACGTCGCCGCCCTCGGCCGCCTCGGCGTGCTGAGCCTGAGCGGCGCCGACCTGGCGTCGCTGCCGGAGGCGATAGGCCACTGCTCGCAGGTGGGCGACGGAAGAAAACGGGGTCGGTTGCGCCGACATTTTCGCGCGTAAGCTGCCCGCGTAAGGTCGCGCGTAAGCACCCTCGCTTCCAGTGTAGCGTGCCGCACGGGCGGCCGTCCCGTCCTTCGCTGGGGCGTAAGGTCGCTATGCCATCTCGCGTGGGACCCGTTTCTGATCTTCGCTCAGGTGTGGCGGCTGGACATCGGCCGGACCGCCATACAGACACTGCCCGACGCCATCGCCTCGCTGCCGCGGCTGAAGATCCTCTTCGCCGCCAACGGGCAGTTCTCGGAGATTCCCGCGGTGCTGGCCCGTTGCCCTGCACTGCGGATGGTCGGTTTCGGAAACAACCGCCTGACCGCATTGAACGGAGCCCATTTGCCGACAGAGCTGCAGTGGCTCATCGCCGCCGGCAACCAGATCGCCTCGCTCCCAAACATCCACCTGCTGCAGCACGTGCGGAAACTGATGCTAAGCCACAACCTGCTCACGTGCGAGGCTCTTGCCCCGGCGGCGGCAATCGCCGACCTGGAAATGCTGCGAGTGGCCGCGAACCGGCTGGAAGCATTTCCAGATGCCTTGCTGCGACATCCGCGGCTTAGCTGGGTGGCTGTTGGCGGCAACCCGTTCGCTGAGGCCGCCACAGAGAAGGCGCTGGCGACAGCCCCTCCTGCCGTGGACTATTCGGAGGTTTCTCTGGGCGACAAGCTCGGCAGTGGTGCGGGAGCCAACGTCTACAGCGCGACCTGGCGTGGCAGGGAGGTGGCCGTGAAGGAGTGGCACGGCGACAAGTTCTCGGACGGCACGGCCAGGGGCGAGTGGGCCGCGAACAAGGTCGCCGGGCATCCCGGGCACCCCTCCATCGTGGGGGTGCTCGGCACGTTTGAGGTCCCCCGGCCGGGCATGGTCCTGGAGAAGATCGAGGGGGCGACGGGCGCGGCCGGCGCGCCGCCCTTCCAGCCCTTCATGATTACTCGGGATCTGCTGCCCGCCCACGGCGGCAAGGGCCCCTCGTTCACCGCTGGGGCCGCGCTCGCCATCGCGAGGACCGTGGCGAGCGCGTGCGCGTACCTGCACAGCCGCGGCGTCTACCACGGCGACGTCTACCTCCACAACACCCTCGTCGTCCCCGACGGGCCCCTGGAGTCCTCCGGGGTCCGGGACGTGAGGCTGTCGGATTTCGGGGCCGCCACGGTGGTCGACGAGCCCGGGTTCTTCAAGATCGAGGCCCGCAGCTTCGGCTGGCTGCTGCAGGACCTCCTGGACATCCTCTCCTCGACGGGCCCCGCCGCAGCAGACGGCGGTGGCCGGGACGCCGACGTCGAGTCCCTGCTGCAGCGGGTGCGGCGGCGCTGCGCAGCCGAGACTTTGGACGGGCTCCCGACCTTCGCCGAGCTCGCCAGCGAGCTGGCAGCGGAGGTGGTGCCGGTGCCTTCGCTGTGAGCCGCAGAGTTCGGGGGAGGGGGTGGCTCGGAGGCGACGATAGAGGCGAACAGCCCGGGGGCGGGCGGACATCACGCGCATTCGCCCGGGAGCCTCCCCGAAGGCATGGACCATCGGCGCCCATGGATGCATGTATTGCCCTCCCCGTGGGCTAATCGCCCCCGTCGTCGCCCGCGAGTGGCGGGTACGGTGGGGGCGTCAGTTCAGGAGGGTGTCCATGAAGCTTCAGACCCTGGGTGCTTCCTCATCTGATGGGGGCGGCGGTGATATCCATGGGCAATCCACGATGGGAGTTCCGCTGGCTTCCAGACGCTGGGTTCCGTATCCAATAACTCCTTATCGAATGCGCTCGCCGTATGTGATGGGGGTGGGGGTGGGCTGCGGTGCAGGACCAGGAGAGGGGATAGACTTTTCGAGCGCATCCGACGTGCCCGCCCGCGTTCCTGTTTTTTGCTTGTCCCGCTTCCCGTCCTCCCCTGTCCTCCTCATCTGGTCTCGTTTCATACTCTTCCTCGTCATCATCATGCTGTCCAGCCCCATCATTTTCCACTGTGTTTGTCAGCGCTCGGCCGAGGCGGTGTCAGGCTGGCAGGAAAGACGGACACAAAAATGAAATCCGAGGCAGTCTCCAAGCCGACCGACCGTGATCCGCCATGTCACTCTCCCTCTGCAATCCCTTCCGTCCCCTCCTGCCTCCTCTCCCCCTTCTCCCCCTCCTTCCCTCTTCCCCCTCCTTTCCTTCGTCCCCCTCCTTCCCCTCGTCCCCCTCATTCTCCTCTCTCCCCCTGTCTTCTTCCCCTCCCTCCTCCGCATCTTCATGGGCTCCTTGCCCTCGTGCTCCTCCTTGCCCTCCTCCGCCTCCTCCTGCTCCCTTTTCTCGCCCACTTCTTCTTTCCATCTCCAGTGGCTCAAGCAGCTACGAACATTCTTGGATTGATGGGGTGGCCAGTGGGAGAGAAGGAGAGAGAGAGAGAGAGAGAGTGAGAGAGAGAGTGCGTCCAAGCTGGGCCGGCTTGCGGCAGTTCCGGGGGCGGTCGCGTGCACAGATGATGGCCGCGTTCTCCCTTGCGCCCAGCTTCCTCCCGTCTGCTCGCCGCTGGCTAGGCCGCTCTGGGTCTTGAAGGTCGCAATGGCGGCTGCGGCGGGGGCGCTTGTCGTCGCGGTCGGCGCACAGTGGACGTCTGTGGGGGAATTGCAACCCTAGGCTGGGTGTAACGACTAGGGCGACATCCAGGGCCCACGCGGTATGGGCATCTCCCGGGGACAGTGCCGCGAGTACTGCTCAATCGATTCCGACTGCGTGTTTTTTTAGCTTCAGGTAGGACCGTGTTTGTCGAGTGACGGGTTGGGTTTAGGCTTAAGTCGGGCCTGTCCCTCTACAGGGCAGAAATTCAAAAGTAGTAAAAAATAGTCAGGGGACTATTTTTTATAGTATTGTTGGGCATCTTTCGAGTATTTTTGGAATATTTTTTCTTTGTCGTCCAAAGTCCCCCTGTAGGGGGACAGGCCCGACCTAAGTTTAGACACCCATTGCATCGTCTTCTACTGACAGTGCGCCACGGGTGCGAACACGTCCAGGGACCTCCTTACGTCAAAACCGACATCATGCCGCCCGACCCTGACTCTCCAGACAGGGCCAACGAGACAACGTAGATCTCCTAGAGGACGGCTGTGGCATTGTCTCCACACCAGGACATGGTAGAAAGGCGCGCCGACCCCAAATCCCAACAACGCGCAGGATGAGCAGCCTACGTGCGCCTCTCGTGGACGGCCCCCAGGTCGGAACTGCGACACGCTCCCGTGTAATTTCCCAGGCCTGGAGGTTGACACCAACACCAATATCGGCGGTGTTCTTCCACCGAGGGAATCAGATCCCGATCTCGGTGATGGTGGTAATATTCTGGCTTCCAAGGTGACCGAAATATGACCACCAACACCGAAATCTAGGATCATCTTCCCCATGTGGAGGCAACCCCCCTGTGCTGGTGTTGGTGCCAACCTCCAGGCCTCCAATAATTACGCTACTTCTCTGAGGGCCATCGATGGGAATCCTCTCCTGAAGGCCACCTGTGCGAAGATCGTCGGCTCTCCTTCTCGCCTTGGCAAAATAAGCCTGGGCGCAGCGAGCCGCGCGCCGCGCCCGCCAGCAAGCCCGACGCTGCAGTGCCACGCCCCTGGCCAACGAATCGCCGCAGCCTAGCCCTGCGCCGCCTCAGGCAGGAGGGGGGAGGAGGAGGAGGAGGAGGAGGAGGAGGAGGAGGAGGAGGAGGAGGAGGAGGAGGAGGAGGAGGAGGAGAAGTCTGGACCCTCAGCCCGTGGCGCGCAACCTGCAGCCCTCGCTGCTCAGCGCAGCCTGGCGGCTCGCCCGAGCTCGCGTGCCACCTGGCGCCGCTGCGCGCAGCTGGGCACCATGCAGGCGTGCGTCGGCTCCCCAGTCAGGGTGTCCTCGGGGGGCTCGCACACCAGAGCGAAAAGCTCCTTGCCGCGCCTCGGCGCCCAGGCGGCGGGAAGTTCCCAGCGCGACACACAGTCCAGCGCTTGCTGGTATTCCTCTTGCGATTCTGGCGGTCGGCTCCGCACGCAGTTTCCCCAGGCCATCGCCCCGCGGCCGGACTGCCGTATTGTCGCAGGGTGCTGGGTGGCGGACAGCCAAGTCCACATAAGTCCACCCGTCAGCGGCCTTCTGCCTCCGCCCGCTAGAGGTCTAGGATCGCCCGCTTAAGGACCAGCGGCCCATCCCGTTCCGCAGGCCGCCGCGCGTGGTTCCTACGCGAGGTCGGGACCCGCTGTTTGTAGAGAGGGGCGTCTGTTGCCACCACCTCCCTGCCAGGCTTCTCGCCGCTTTCGCCAAGTCGTCGCGGCGTCGTACGACACACCCGGCAGCCTGGCCAGCGCTGGCGTGGCAACCATCTGCGTCAAGCGGAGCCTGTCATGTGGCGCCACTTCCTGTCTGGGTGCAGCAAGTCGTTGACGCCCGCGCCAGCTCCTCGCGCGAGCACTCTGGTCGCGGCAGCTGGAGGCAGCTAGGGAGCGAGGAGCTCCAGTCCGCATCTTCGCAAGCGCACGCTAGTTCCGTGGGGTGCTTGAAGAATTCGCCTGGCCCTGACCCGCCATCGGAAACCAAGATGACCTGGATGCTAAAATCCGGTCGCTGCGTGGCTGGAGCGTGAGTGCAGCGCAGCATCATACCGGATCGCCTCATCATGCGCGGCCCGCGCGAGCTGATGTAAGTTGTGGTGGATGGCCCTTCCATCGGGGCGAACAGCAGCGAGCCAGCAGCTTGCCTGGTGAGGCGTCCCTGCCGCAGCTGCTGAAGTCTGCCCTAAGGCTGCTGCAGGCGCTTCCTTGGTCCGTCCAGGGCCGCTGTCGCTTCCCGTCGGCTGGTCTCCCGGCGCCCGGAGGTTGGCTCACAGCACAGGCAGCGCGGTCATGTAGTGGGCCGTCACCTCGGCCTGGACGACTTGGGTCCCAAGCGGGGATCACGTCAGCATCTTGCGAGCGTTCAGTCCAAGTCACAGCGGCGCGAGGGCGCCCACCAGCGTCACCAGAGTGAAACACCCGAGGTCTGCCCTCACCTTCTCCTCCTCCTCGTCCTCCATCTCGACTCCTTCTCCTCGCCCTCTTCGCCCTCCTCCTCCTCCTCCTTCTCCTCGTCCTCATCCCCCTCCCCGTTTCCCTCCCCCTCTTTCTCTTCTTCCTCCTCCTCCTCCTCCTCCCCCTCCTCCTCCTCCTCCTCCTCCTCCTCCTCCTCCTCCTCCTCCTCCTCCTCCTCCCCCTCCTTCTTTCGTCTTCACTTCCTCATCCCTTCCCATCTTCCAGCTCCGACCCTCTTCGTTCTCCTCCTCGTCACCCTCAGAGCCCTTCTCCCGTTCCTCCTCTCTGTCCCTCTGCCTCCCTCTCCCCCTTGACCCCCTGACCACCGCTCCACTCGGGGGAGCGGGGGCATGCCGCCGACGCCTCTCCGCGGCCTCGCCGCTGCCTCTGGGCGGGCCCTTCGGCATCCCTCGGGGCGTCCAGGCGCCAAGGCGGGGGCCTCGCGGTTGTTAGGGGGGGCCCCCCTCCCGCCCGCCTCCCTCCGCCCCGCGCCGGCGCGCCCTCCGTGGTTGGGCGCCCAGCCGGCGTATCACGGAAAGGGGGCCTAACTCGTCCCGCGTCGAGGGGTCTCCGCGCTGCGCACCGCGGGGAGATGGTGAACCGGGTACCGGTGGCCGGCGAGGGGGACCCGGGCGAGCGCGAGCAGCGAGCCCCCTCCGCCGCGGGTGCCGCCGCGGCTCCGAGCCGTTCCGCGGGACCTGGCCTCCCGCCGCGTAGGGGGGCGTAGGGAGCACTAGGTCCGCCGTCCGGCCGGGGGGGGGCTCCAGCCTCTCCACCACCTGACCGCTGCGCCCTCCGTCGCTGCTCCCGCGCTCCGGGCAAGCAGGGCACCGGTCCGTCGCCCGCGCCGCTGCGAAGCTCCGAGACGGGCAGGATCCGAGCACGCGCGAGGTGTGCGCCATGGCTCTGGCGTGAGCGTGCACATGCGTGCATCTTTTAGTGTGCGTGTGTGCGTGCGTGTGTGTGCGCGTGTGTGTGTGTGTGTGTGTGTGTGTGTGTGTCCCCGCCTTCCTGTGCCCTGTCTCCCTGATTAAAGCTGTGCGAAGCCCGCCTAGCTTTTAGCGGAAGAGGTTCGCTCTCGCCCCGCAGACCAAAAAGTGTGTGTGTGTGTGCGTGTGTGCACATTCCCCTCCATCTCTTTGTATGAATGCCCACCCTGCGGAAACCCTGCCCCCCCCCCCTCCCGGAAACGGGACCCCCCGGACCCGTGGCCCCTGGGCCCCAAGCCCCTGCTGGGCCTAGGCAACGGGCCCAAATCGGTCAGGAGGGCGGTCGAACGCCCCCCCGAGGGCCCGAAGAGGCCCCAGTCACCAACCAGACGCCCGAAGACGACCCAAAGAAGACCCCCATCTTCAAGAGGCTTCCAAAACGCAGAAAGACATTGATGTTCAAAGGTTTTTGCATGATTTTGGGAATGCCCTGTTCTTCGGTTTCTGGACGTTGGAGAGCCTCTGGGGGCCTCACGGAAGTTTTTCAAGCTCTCTCAAGGCCTTCTGGAAGCCTCTTGGGCGTCTTTTGGGGGCCTCTGGGGGCTTCCTCGGGCCACCCTGCCTCCAACCGCGGTCTCCCTGAACGACCTGGTCACGATTTGGAATGCTTCGGAGGGTGTCTTGGGGCCATCTTGGGCCGTCATGGAGCTCTCTTAGGCCATCTTGGAGCCCTGTTGTGCCGTCTTGGAGATCTCCTGAACTGCCTGGAATCCCTTTCGGATGGTTTTGGGGCGATTTTCGAGCCCCCCAGGCGGTCTTGGACGCCCAGAACCCCGAAGAACAGGGCATTCCCAAAATCATGCAAAAACCTTTGAACATCAATGTCTTTCTGCGTTTTGGAATCCTCTTGAAGATGGGGGTCTTCTTTGGGTCGTCTTCGGGCGTCTGGTTGGTGTCTGGGGCCTCTTCGGGACCTCGGGGGGGCGTTCGACCGCCCTCCTGACCGATTTGGGCCCGTTGCCTAGGCCGAGCAGGGGCTTCCAGGAGCTCTGAAGCGATTGGGGGGTTTCCTGCATGGGCGTCCAGGGGGTCCGCGGGGCCACGGACTCCGGATCCGGGGGTTCTCGAGGGTCCCCAGGGCCC